TTTTTCGACGCTATTTTCTCTTTGTGTGTGTGCCCTCTGGTATGTTTTTGACGTGCACGTTGTATATTTTGAAGGTAGCAAAATAGCCATCACAAGCAATAAGAAGAAAAAAATGTCTCTTTGTCGTGTTGTTGAACATCTCACTCTATACATGTGCACATACATACAACTTATTTTATATTAGAGAGACATATTGATTCACTCATACGACGCCCATTTTTATCAATAGAAGGACAGTGTAAAACATTCGAACATTATTGAACACCAAAACCAATTCATAAAAAGGGTAAGTAGAGAGATACAAACGTTTGTTTTCTTATAAGAGAAATCTCTTAGTTTATGGACAATGTATATAATTACATGTAAAAAAAAACACCGAATGAGATTTTGTCCATATCAAACACATAAAAACCGATGACATTTTTTCTTACAGAGATAGATAACAGTTACAGAAAAAAAAATTAGTCCTAACCTATTTACTTCATAAAAAATAACGGTAGATTTTTATTTTAAATATGATTTCACACAAATCTTATTTTTACGATTTTAATAACGACGATTGAACAATAGAAAAATTCTTTCTTTGCACAAATCAGAATAATGTGTAGTTTCCTTCAATAACAACTCGTTTCCAAAAGCGTAGTTCCATTAGATCTTTTATCTGAACATAAAAGACGTAGTTCTACTTTTAATATGTGCTAAGTCATTTGTATAATTAATTGCTACAGTAATTTTTTTAAGCTCAAACATATTCGGTTTGATATGAGCAGTATCGTTCACAATTATCAAGTGCACGTTGATATTGTATTCTGGAATCATTTTCGTTTTTTTTAACATCTTCACCAGAATATGCTATGTAGAGCGCTCGTTCAAGTACTTGATTCAAAAAATATTTCAATAATTTTTTTGCGCATAGAACAATAATAATTAGAATAACTAGATATTATTGATAAAATATATTTCCATTCATTTATTATCATTAAATCAAGATGATGATTTTCTTTTGAATTTATCGACATGAAAAAAGTCACATAACATAAAAACAAAAAAAACAAAAAGAGTTGGATGACGAACTGTTGTCTCATGCTGGCTAAAGAAGGTAAATGGACTATTTATACAAATGTTTTTGACTCTAGTTCTTACTACTTCGAGTGCTAAAAAGTGACTCTTACCACTAACCAGTGGTCGTTTTTGACTGATCTTTGGCTTGTTTGTGTGTTGTCCTCTCAATTCATCCAAGGTTTTTTTCTCAGTTCATGCCATTAACACTTCTCTCTTAGTTTGTCCCATATATTTTTTCTCAATTCGTCCCAGATATCTATGCTCGCGTCTCAAAATAAATAAAGTGTTGTACCATCGAACAGTTTAGTCGACGACGATGGTATTGTAGACAATATAAGGTGCGCGTACGTGACAAAATGTTTCGTGTTAGCCACTACTATCACAAATTTAAATCTAAATAAGTTAAATTATTTTGTTCATCAAAATGTTAATTTTCACGTCTACTGAAAAAGAGAAACCAGTTTTAAATCATAATGGGTATCGATACACCAAAAACTGAGCAAACAAAATAAATAATCAATGGCGGTGTCGAGATTGAACACATTCAAGTACAATATCATTATGTACAGACGATGTGAGAATGTTACGGAATGAATCAGCACCAAAGTCTCCATCCACATTACTGTTGATAATATGAAAAAACGTGCGAGAGAGGAAACGCTACCTATTCCAAAAATATGTTCATAAGAGGTCGTTAGAACAATAGTTGCCAGTCCTGATCTTGCAACTGGTCGTGTGTTCCAACACTTCCGAATGTTGATGCTTTACTTTATCGTCGTAGAGCGCTTAATTACTCCAAATTGCCAACAACTACCGATATTTTTCCACATATCAAAATAATGGCTGTTTCTTCCATTAGGCTCAATCATTATGCAGAAAAATCCGGGAAGTTGGTATAATGCGTCATTTTGAAAAAACAAATGACAATAATAAAGTAATACCGGAGAGTGAATGGAAAAAAGCTCATCATTGGTTTTTAGCAGCTGTTGGTTTGGCACTAGTTCCACCAAAAATATTTATGAATTTGTTCGACTGTTACCTGATAAGCATTCGTTCCAGCATCATCAAGGTGAAGCATCAAAAATTTGTGCTCCAAAAAGAAAGAAACCACATTTGGATATTGACAACAAGCTGATAGAATTACTTCATGGCTTTGCTACTGGTATACTGAATGAAGTTGAATTAGTTATAAAATGTGGTAGAACAGTTAAAACTACCCAAATTAAAAAATAAGACATACTGTTACTGTTACCTTTTCTTCAAATAATGTAAATATATTAAAGTTGTTTCACTTGAGACTAGTTTCGTCTTTATTCAGAAGACAACATTAGTCAAATGATGACAAAAAATTTTTTCTCTCCTTTGAAGTACAGAAGAAATAAAAAAAGAAATACATGTAAAGAACACAAACATGTAACTTATTCCATTATTTAGTTGTACAATCCTCGAGAATCCAATACCTCTAAAAGCATCTTTATATTCTTGTTTTCGCTTTTCAGCTCTTGTTGTTTGTCCAATATAACTGTTTATACACTTACAACAGTCATATATATCACCGTACGCAAGAGGTACGGACAATTATATTAAAGCTAATTAAGTGTAAACTAATATGGGACGAACTGAGAAAAAAAGCTTCGTGGGACGAATTGAGAGTAAAGCGTCTGTGTGCTACTTAAAGACTGACCTATTTTCGAACAAAAATATACACTCCTTTATGAAAAGAATGATTTATTTCTTAAATAGGAAAGACAGCCTTTTTACCGTTGAAGAAACAATATATATATTTTTTTTAAAACTAAATAATAAACTTAATAATCTTAGTCATATAACGAGTTATTGAGCTTAACCCATGCGCCGTGAAATTCTCTACAAAATCATACCTAAACTATAATTTCAGAACTTCAATCAAGAAAACTAAGCCGATTAGATAAAAGTAAAAAAAAATGAAAACTTTCCAAACTCAAAAATGATTTCTTGTGTTAACGTTTTGAAAGTAAGGAAAACTGACTTAGCCATTTTTGTAGCGCTGACTTCGTTCTATCTTTTAGCTACACTTCAAATTTTTTTTACTTTTATCTAATTGGCTTCGTTTTCTTGATTAAAGTTCTGAAATTATAGTTTAGGTATGATTTTGCAGAGAATTTCACGGCGCATCTGTTGAAAAAAGTTAAGTTCAATAGCATAAATTCTAACTGAGATATAAGCAAAAAACTAAGTGGCTGATTTAATCTGAAGCACCCGTTAGAGTTGTTAGTGGGGTACTCAAATATGCTGGTTTCAACTTAAATTCATTGCCTGTGACCGTATCGGATAAGATTTGGCCTATTTTACTATTTTTAACGATGAAGTGGGAAATACTTTCTCTACAATTGATAGTGTAAATCTGTCGAACAAAATATCAGCTCTGCAAAAACATGTTTCTGACACAGGTCATACGATTGACTGGGATGGTTTCAAGATTGTTTCTAAAGACACTGATCCATACAAACTACTCATTAAAGAATCGTTTTCTGAAATACCAGACAAAAGTAAAAGTGTGTATATAATGTCTGTTTCTTCACTTAGTTTCGTATTTCTTGTTCGTCTTTCTTAAATAAATGTGTTTGTGGTTGTGTTTATTTTATAATTTTCCTTGAAAATGATCATTGTATGTACCAAAATGGCGGAATTAATTAATTAAAAATTTTATTTTGAAACTACTGTCGTTATAATTCTCACCATACTTAAACTTTTACCCATAAACAAATCAAATATAAAGAGAATAAGATGAAAGCTACTTTGAGGTCGCCATCATCATTTCTTTGATAAGAGCGAAAGAAAAATGGTTTGTTAAAGCTAGTAAATGTCTGCTTACGAATTATGGGAGATCCGAATTTTTGTCTTTTCTGTGTAATCAATAAAATAATGATCATTTAACACCACTATTAGTAGTAGTTAAATTTGTTGAACATCCATTAACTTATGGGAATGATGACTAGAATTAATAACGTAAAACGAAAAATGTACATCAGTCGCTGACGAATAAATTCAATTAATTCCAACATCATAGCATGTTGTTATATGGCTTGGCAACTCTGCTACTGCAGTGTGATGATTTCGTCACGATTTTTCTGTATTTTGTTTCTCTTACAGTTTTTGAACCAAAATACCTCCAGAGATCTGGATCATCTAAAATTGAAGAGAAAACTGTGCTCAATGTTTTGAAACATTCCACCACTCTACACATTCTTTTGCATAGGAAATACTGCAAAAATACATGTATTTTTGATCGATAAAATATTGCGCACAATTTTCTCTTCAATTTTAGATGATTCAGACCTCTGGAAGTATTTTGATTCAAAAACTGTAAGAGAAACAAAATACAGAAAAACCGTGGCGGAACCATACTGCGGTAGCAGAGTTACGCGGCCAAACCGTATATATCGGCTTAGATCTAACGCCCATCATTGTATAAGCAGATGTACATCGACTATATAAATACGGTGCTGATAGACGAATATTATATCTTCACACTTACAGCGAGACAACACACCTTCGTGACATAATAATAATGAATGATTTATATTGATCTTCGATCTTTTGACAACAAGAGAGAAAGAAAGAGAGAATGTGTGTGTGCGTTTTGTTGTTGTGTAGAGGAGAGATCGATGCATGAATAAAAGAAAAAGATGACACTTTTAATCTATCTTTAATCCATTCGGATGTTTAATGATGGATTTAGATCAGTGGAATAAATTTTTCGTCGTCTTGTTGTTTTCGGGCAGGATATAACATTTATCTCTTAAGTATGTCATTACGCTACATAAATTTGAATTATACTTGTCTTCCAGCCTTGACGAGCGGATTTCTGGTTAAAACACAATATCAAAACGTCTATCTTGATAAAATCTATAAACAGGCAAGTTCAATAGAGTAGAACGAATGTGATTGTAAATAGCATGTTTGAGTACGTTCTTATTTTAAACATAACTCGAAGAGGCGCGTAAGAAAGCTGTGCACATCTATTAAAACACTTTATAAAATTGTTCAGTAATAAAGATAAATGATTATTTAACAAAGTACGGAGAAAAGTCGACCAATTTATTTTTAAATCTAATAATTTTATTTTCACTTAACTAAAAACTCTTTATAATCGTTGAACACTTAGTTATCCCGTTTTGAAGAACAACATTTTTTTTTGCCCATACAGAAAGCTACAATCTGTAGAAATTGGTAGGGTATGATATCGAAGTTTCTTGGAGTCCAAGGACTGGTATCCCGCGAGTATCGGTATCCTAGGAAACGAATGAATTATAGGTAATCAATCATACTGAGCCTTGTGGCATTATTTGCTTTAGAAAAAGGCTTCAAAAACTGATGAAAGCTACGTTTTTCGAAAACTAGGGTTTTCCGCCTGTTTTCACATAATATTAAAAAACTCAATATTCACTCAGAAAACATCAGAACGAATTCAAAACTACAGGATGTATGGTATTCAGAGTATTTTTCATTCTTTTTATAAGAAATCTACAAAAAAGAATGTAGAGAACCCATGGCTTTCTGAAAGATATTTCGGAAACTTGTAGACAAAAGCATCGTTTTTCAATCTGTTCGATCTTATTATCACGTCTAGCGGACAAAATTAATTGTCCTGGGGCTCCAAGAAAGTTCGATACCATACCCAAACCCAAACCCAAACCACTGGAAATCAAGATCTCGCTTGGCTCTCATTTTGAATAGAGCCCTCTGGACTATCAATTCATGAAAAAAATTAGTATAATCTTTTTGGAAGTTTTTGAGACGCAACCGACTTTTCTAAAGAACTCCTAGAAACTTCTTTTAAGAGCACGTCTGAAAAGATTTCTGCTTATGGAAACATGTCTCCAAGTCTTGTCTTTCGAATGTTGAAAAGCGCAAGTCTCTATCTCATTCCTACCAAAATTTATGCAAAAAACCACCGATGGTAGTGCTTTTTTCTACCGATAGTACTTAATATTTTGTCTTTTTAATCGTTATTCTTTTCTTCTTAAGGAATATTTTGTTTTTTTTATTACGTGCCATCGTATACAACAGTAATATGGAACAACAAACATTACTTCACGAACGAAAAGATTTGGTGACATCGCCGGATGAAATTACATATATTAAAAAACAAGTACCAGTAAAGTAAGTACACTCAACATTTCAGTTAAAGAATTTCACGAAAAAAAGTATTTAGGTGTCAAATCGGTTTTTTCATTTAGACAAACCTTTTCTATGACAACTTTAACGCTGAATCCGAATCTGATACCCGTTTAGGCCCATAAGCCTTTTATAGCTCGGTTTTCCAGAAAATCAGTTTTCAAATTTTTTCAAATTTTTTTTATTTGACAAAAATTCTGATGCATCTCATTTGTAGAGGAGGTCGAGTTGTGTATGCCATTAAATTATTTTGAGCCTTCGACGTATCTCGTATATTTAGGAATATCTCATCACCTCCTTAAGTCATCATGACGTAACATAGCGGAATTGCAATTTCATTAAATACGCTGTTAGATAACAAAAAAATTTGATCTTTGTTTTTTTGTTTTGAAATTTTGAACCGAAATTTGAAAACCGAGCCATAAAAGACCTATGAGCCGAAATGGGTATCAGATGCGGATTCAGCGTTAAAGCTGTTACAGAAAAGATTTGTCTAAATGAAAAATTCATTTGACACTTAAATATGTTCTCTCGTGAAATATTATGTTTCAAATTAGTTATCTATGTATCTTAACTATTACATACTTAATATTAACTTCAAAAATGATATGTTTAAATAAAATTAGTTAGTAGCTTTCTTTTTTCTGCTTCTTTTTTATTAAAGCACATTTTCGATTATGGATCATGCAGAGTATAGTAAAACTTCGTTGATATACAAATGATATTTTCGCTTTATTGTCACAAACAAAACTGTTCAAGATCTCATCTTTTTTTTGCTAAAAAGACGAGAGAGACTCATTATTATGTCATAGTCGTGTGTTAAAAAGTAGAGCTTCTGTATTAAGAAAAAACTTGCAAACAATTATGAGATAGAAGTTAACATTGAAGATCTAAGTATAGAATGTTTTCCTTTACTTCATAAGATATGCAACTAGAATGCAAAGTGCAGCTCAGAGATGTGTAAGATCTGTGAACTCATTTTCACAGTCTTTTGTTCAATCTATGTTTTTATCTGATACTTAGCTCTTTTATTCTCCATGGTTTAGTTTTATAGGTGAGATTGTTGTATGTACAGAAAGAAGTAATATCAAAAACTCTTTGTACGTGACCATCATATATTGTTGATGTCATATTTTCTATAACTTTGATTTATTGACTAGCACTGATCTCCTTAGAGTATCAATAGAATTTTGTTGTTATTATACAGATCGATTTCATCCATAATAATGAAAATAATAAATTGGTTTTTTCCCCTGATTGTTTTTGTTGAATAAATGTGTCATCGGAGAAGTAAAAAAAGAATAAAAAATATTTTTCAGTAGTTATACTTACTTAGAATGTTGTCTATCAAGGCAAATATCAAGATCTCATTTCAGTATAGTGTGATTGAAAACTTTAAAAGGTGATAATAATCAAATGTTTATAGTGTATTTGAAATTTGCAAAAGTAAACCAGTAAATACTATTATATTAACTTTCTCAGGCTTATGTTGTACATAAATCAGAAAATTAATAGACATATATTTAATCATTAGAAAATATAAAAATAAACGAACTGTCGGCTATGCTTGTTGTCATAATCAATCATTCATTCTAACTCTGTTCAACTGTTCTTATTTCACAAAATATGATTATAAAATAGAATGAAATTCACCAAACATTTTTTATTAGAAATAGTGATTGAAATGTGTAAAAGAGCTACTTTGACAATCTAAACTTTTAAAGTCGTCAACAACTTAGTATTCAAGAGTGTTTGTAGAGTGTTAATCAGTCTTCAAGAAAATCTGTTATACTTTGTCCATTTAGAATGAAAAAATTTACAAGAAATCGAATTTTTAGTACGAGAAGAAAATCAACTTTTCCTCTATTAACCGTTTTTAGTTAGTTTAGTTTAGTTTAAACTGTATTTATTTTAACAGTTTTTACTGTATCGATACAAAATCTGAAAGCTTCAGTCGTAACTTTTCTACACAGAGACGTGATCTATTCTCTGATAGTCTTGCCTACCAAAAGACGATTTTCCAACATATACTTTCTTGGTAATCAAACCATTTCAAGTTAAAATAATCAAATTTTCTTCTGTTTATGTCTGACTCTCATCTGTTTTCCTCGCTTTTTTACGAGAATATTTGACTAGAGTGTGAGTGTCATCTAATCTTTAGCCATTTAAGCTAACGTTAATTGTACAGAGTCTAATAAGATACGACACAAGTTTATAACACACATATAGTCTACTGTCCACGGCCTGCTCTTTAACCTACAGCATATTTAATCACTGAAAATTCTCTGCGAGAAGTTGCAAATATCGATCCTGTTAGTATCCAAAATGCATGATTTTCGAGTTAGTCCTCTGTGAACAATTGCAATTATCAAAACTCTTTTTTTTTTTTGTTTTTCTTAATGGTTATACCAAAGTATCACGCATTCGATTACATCGTGCTCTGCAAAGATGTACGGTGCTAGTCAACTTTAAATCCGCCATTGACAAAATCCAACATTAGCTTAAAATCAAACTTTGTGTTTTGTGGACTGATAAACGTTTTGGCTAAAGATTAGATGACACTCACACTCTAGTCAAATATTCTCGTAAAAAAGCGAGGAAAATAGATGAGAGTCAGACAAACAGAAGAAAATTTGATTATTTTAACTTGAAATGGTTTGATTACCAAGAAAGTATATGTTGGAAAATCGTCTTTTGGTAGGCAAGACTATCAGAGAATAGATCACGTCTCTATGTAGAAAAGTTACGACGGAAGCTTTTTCAGATTTTATCCGGTAACAGTTGGTCTTCACACTGGAAAATTGTCAGTCGAATGGAACATAATCATCAAACAGCCATGTTTGACTGTAAGTACTGTTGTGCCGAACGATGTAATACGGAAAGTTAGAACCAGATCTAAATTTTATTGATGGAGAATTTAGTCGATGTTGGCGTGGACTCTTTCTGGCATGTGTTACTAATATAATGTGAAATAATATTGTTTCATATTTTGTTAACGTCATTAGAATGAGAATATTATCAGGATAGAGTCAAAAGAGGATAGAACGAACATCCATCTCTTCAACATTTCTTAGAACTGGATTTTATTATAGTCTCATAATTGTGCGTATTAAAATGTAATTTAGTTCAGTTCATTTTAAATTTAAACTGTCTATACCTTATAGTAAACCAAATTTAAAATTATAACGATGGTACTTTTATATTGATATTTTTTATCGTGTTGTATATGCATCATAAAACAAAAAATTTGTGTAAACGATGCAGAAATTAATTGAGAAGCAAAAAGATAGATTGAACTCTATTACGACAGTCTCTGTGAAGTATGATTGTAAATTATAACACATCATTTTCAATGTATGTGACAAGACTTCTGAACATCTTCATTAATATTCACTTTTTTCCTATCAATCTCTTCTGTATAGTAGTTGGTTAATGTATTAATCATAAAGAAGAATATCTGAGAGAACAACATTGTCATTGATTAATGAATAAACTTTTTTTCCTCACTTCCCACCCAGAAGTGAGATACATGTGGCCTTTGTTCTAAAAGTGCTCTATATGGATACTCTGTTATTCATTAATGAATGAGATTGATACATTGTTAAAATCATTTATTATTTACTTAAATAATTTTGGATGTTGTTGTTGTTATCATATTTGTCTATATAAGTGTGTCTATTATTAATTATCATTAATATAAGCTTAAAGGCACCTGATTAGACAGAAAGGAAGGCAAAGCAATTAATAGAAATCATCAATTTAAATAGATAAGAGATAACGAACGTTCACACTTAGCCATCGATTATCATCACTATGTAAATATTTTCAGAAAGTAACAGACACAGATAAAAACATCTGCACTTTTTCTACTTCCTGGTGTGGAGCAAGATCTAGTCTATATGGCTAAACTCTTATTATTCCTATCGTCGGTACAATTATAGACAACTTGAAAAAGAAACAAATATATATTTTTGTTTGTATGTATAATAGATGCCCTTTTTTACAGTGACCTTGTCTTACTGAACGTTATTTCGTTTAGTGTAAGCGACAAAAAAAGCGTTCTCTTTTCTTCTGTTCAATATCAATTTATCATCGATAGTTGAAATCGGCTGGACTATATATATATATATATATATATTCCACTAGTCGATTTTCTACTACAACAACTACTACTGCCATTATTACTCTAATGCATCTGTACATGTGTTTATATATTTTATTCATTCAGTATGAGATAGAATAATTATTTAGCACAGATGTTCTCTTTATCCGCTCCATTTAGACTAATACACAGACCCTGTCATTTTTAGTTTATTTTAACAAAAAAACACGGAAAAATTCATAAATATAGAGAAAAAAAGGGACATATATGTTATAGTTCGATATATCTGATTTCCACATATTTTTGTTGGATTTAAGCCAGATAAAAACGGTCCCTGAAGGAGATAATTTACTCCACTACATTTATGAATGACTACTGCTGGTTTCTATAATGAAAATTTATCCAGAGCAAACGATTTAATTAGTATCGGAGCCATAGATCGATTCAACAAAAAGTCAAAAATATTTTCTACAAATTTATAGACTATCACATTTAATACATTTTAGTTCTTTGCATACTATTCTAACAGATTATCCCCTAATAACACTTACGAGGAAACATCTCCAACTGTCAAATCGCTTTTCTAACGAAATGCAGTAGCTTATAGGTAATCGATCATGCTGATTCCAAATATGATAGCCGTTTTTCCCGATAGGCCTTTCCTAACCGATTTCTGGAAAACTGGTTTTCCAGAAACCTCGAAAAATCCCCAAGAATTTTCTAACTAAGTCGTGAATTTACACGAAAAGCCTTAAATTCATCTTTCCTTCTTCTTTCTGTAGCTCTGAGGTGACAATAAACATTTAGGGCTTTTCGTGTAAATTCCATAACTTTGCAAAGAAAGATTGTGTAGAGCTGGGAGATGTCTCATTTTAATCAGAATTTCGCGGACTACAGTTGTGGCTTATTTAGAAAAATTCTTGGGGATTTCTCGCGGTTTCTGGAAAACTGTTTTTCCAGAAACCGATTAGGAAAGGTCTATGGGGAAAAACGGCTATCATATTCAGAATCAGCATGATCGATTACCTATAAACTACCGCATTTCTTTAGAAAAGCGATCTGCCAGTTGGATATGTTCCCTCGTTAGACACCATTTAGAGATAACACTTTAGTTTACAAGAATCTTTACAATAAAAATAATTTCAATTGGATCAGTACCCAGTAACTTTATTTAAGACGAAAATTTACGTCACATTTTAGAGGCATATGTGTTGAATGATGATAAATTGAAGAATAATCAAAAATAATCACGAGACATCAGCTTGTCTCATAGCAAGCAATTTTCTTTATAATTTCCTCCAAATACTAACTAATCCTTGCTTCACTGGAAACAACCGAAAATGGATATGACTCTGCTCAACGTCGATGATGCTGACAAAGGGAGGTAAAGGATATACATATCTTCAACAATTCAAATTCTGATTCTATATGAGTGGTTCACGGGTTATATCTGTTTAAGTCTACATCTAGTGCTATAATAGAAATCCTCCTAGTGTTATTAGATCTTTAGTAGTGAATTTTGACCAGTGGTGTGAACGCTAGAGACGTGAGACATCACTCTGTACCCTTACAAATTCTTGTCTTTTTGTCAGCAGGAAATGATTTTCTATTTTTTAAATAAAAATCGCGCGCAACAAAAATAAATTTTTCTACGATTTTCTGCTAAGAGGGTTCAGCTACGCCCCTAATTCTGGTTGTATAGTTAAAGCTTGTCTATCAATCTATACATGCGTTTGTTAAGAGTCTGTGTCTCTGTTTGATGACCGCCTGAGCGTGTTCACTACATGTAGTTCATATGTAGAAGTAGTACTGAAAGAACTAACTATACATGTTTCCCTTTTTTTGTCTTTCTAACGACTTTTTTTGTGTTTTAAAATTATCCAGATATCGTTAATAATATAATATGGCAGAAGGAAGAAAGGTCGCCTAACAAATATGTTTAATGTTAATGGCAAAAGTAGTAGAAGTATAGGTTTTTCTATGTACACACTCATGCGTGCATAAGTGAACCTCACATGTAAAAAAATACACGAATAAATGTGATGGAACCATAAACAAATATAAAATAAAAGAAGTTAAACGGCTATGTATAAATCAGTAGCAAAATATTTGGAAAATTAAATTAATGTTTCTCGATGAATGTACAATAGAGATCTAAAATCTTTTTACAAACTTATTAAAGAATTATTATATCGAACAGCATTTGACTAACAATGTATCGAGAAGAATAATTAATTCTCCTTTATAAAGAGTCTTTATTGTTAAAAATTAAGTTGGCTATACGTATATATTTCTTCTTTTTCATTGTTCATTGTTGTTCTTTTTTGTAAGACAAGAAAAGTTGACCGATATTGGACGCTTTTAATTGTATTTTATACTTATGACTGTACTTGTTTGCTCATTGACCAACTTACTGATTTACTTCATCTAAACTATCTCAGAACAGTCGATCTCAGAACTATCTCAGTAAAACATACTCATCATTGGTAGCTGAAGTCGTTTATGTGTTAAGCGAATTATAAAGTTAGAGTTGTTATACATCTCGTCGTCAAAAACTGCTTGACAATTAGCAGCATGATAAATAGATTTATGCCTTCTTTATAATATAGTACAATACTTCGTTTGTGTGTGTGTATATGTGTCTCATTCAAGTTTATAGAAAAAAAGGTAAAATTTTTACTCGGCAGAATGATGTGATTCTCTGTGTCCGTCCTATCCTTTTTCTTTTGTCAGAACATATCAATTCATTGTCGTTGACTAATAGTAGTAGCATGTATAAAATTGACGTTTCCAGTATTCACCTTTCACAAATAAGAATAAATTCAAATTATACTTTTTTTTTTTTTGTTCATGACTTTGTGTGTGTGTGTGTGTGTATATGTCTTTTTTGAGATATATGATTGTGGTGGTGATGGACATGTAAAACCGCAATATATAAAATGAAAGGATGAGAAAAGAAAAAAACTAACAAAAAAAGAGAATAGAACTTGTGTGTTCTAATGAGAATATTAACATAATTCTGATTGGAGTGCCATGTATAATAAGTAAAAGTGATTCACCTATTTTTAGAAGCTTTTTCCTTACTGTTTGATTTTTCCACACTCTCTTTTTCCTCGTCCATTAACAGAAAAATTCTCTCTCTCTTTCTTCTTCTTGTTGTCCGGTTCTATGTTTTTTACACATAGAGGAAAAAATGGAAAATTTCTCTCTATGTCAGTTTTTTAGTGCCAATTTAGTCTCTATGTTATCTTGGCCTCTTGCTTCTCGTTTTTTTTTACTCATTTCTATTTTTTTTTTAAACATTTCTCACTCTGAGTAGAATTTGTTATTTTAGAAAAACTCAGCCACATATAGATCAATCTCTCTAATTTGGCATATAGTGTGCGGTTAATTTCTTCTTTCTTTCTCTCTCTCTCGCTCTCTCTCTTCCTTTCTCTTCTTCTCATTTTTCTTTTTTGTTCTAGTGGAGTAGTTCGCTGACGAAGATATTGTAAAAAAGTTTAAGTTTATTTTTAAAAAAATATCTAAAACAATACAACCATAATCATCATATAAAAAAACAAATTAATTAGAAATTATTTTTATTTACTTGTCTCGAATATATTACTTTAAATTCAATAGAAATGTTAGCATCCGAAGTACCGTTAAGTGAAAGACAGCATATGATACCTCATGAAGGAAACCTTGAGGGACACAATGCGGCAGAAGTTGTTCATACAACAACAACGGTCGTTCGAAAGTAAGTTTATTTTACTAATTTTTTTTACCAACATACATTTTTAATATTATTACATGTCGGATCTACGTGCATCCAACACAGATATTTGACGGATTGACTTTCAAATATAAAAATTTTTATAGTAAATATTTGGAGTAAATTATCTAAATATTCTTTCTGTAAAGCTAAATGTTGAATGGTAGAGAATCATAAAATAATTTTATAGATGTTCAATCTGTCGAATAATTTTTTATGCTAATTTTATTAATGAAAGTATCCTTTACATATTATTTGATGTATTGTCTTGTGTTTATTTGTGCTCATTATTATTATTATTCTTTTTCTTCTCACTTGATAAAATATAGACATGAACCTTTATTTTTTAATACAAAAAATTATTAAAAATCTAATAAGTCGTGACACATCTGTATCTTTTTTTTTTTTATTTTTTGTATAAAAATAAGAATAGTTTGCGGTGTTAACGACTAATTGTTGTTTTGATAATAAAAAAATGATAAATCTTTTGTTTTGATAGAAAAGTAACGAGAGCTTTTTATTATTTTGTGTGTGTGTGTGTGTGTGTATGTATGAGAAAAAAAAACATCCTAAATGCTTGAACATGTATTTACTTAGTAAAAAAAACCAAATGTTGTTGCATGTTTCTCTCAAACAGCATCTGTTTCATAAAGAAAAAATGGTTTTGAACACTGAAATTGTTTTAATAGTTAAACTTGTAATTATATGATATTACAACCTGGCATCATGTTGGATAGTAAAATGAAAAGAAAAAAAAATGTCTGATTAATTGTTTAGATTTTATTTTATTCATTCATTGATAGTGATAGTCAGGTTCTTAATGCGTGATTGGAAAATATTTCCAAGCTGTGTTTTTGTTGATACTTCGAGATTAGAAATGAACGAAATAAAAGGGAGAAAAAACGAATTATGGTCGCATCTGGTTAAAATCAATGAGATTCTATTTAGTCGACGTTAGAGGAAAAACAAAGGAAGCATCTTATACTAATCTCCCTCTCTCTCTCTCTCTCTCTCTCTCTCTCTCTCTCTCTCTCTCTCTCTCTCTCTCTCTCTCTCTCTCTCTATCGTTATCTTTAAATATTGTGTTAAGGAATCTCACAATGGTGAGCATTTTTGCCATGCCATGCAAACATTTGATTTTTTCTTATACTGAACAGTCATTTTTAGATAGATTAATACCTATTTTAGTGAATAGAATTAGAAAGTTAGGAGTATTTTCTTTTTTTTTTTGACAACGATCTTAGTACTACTTAAGATAGATTTCTTTCACTATTCGTACTAAATACAATATTAATTTTTTTCCTTTCTATGAAAACTCTTAACAACAGGCGTTGTTCAACTTAAAATATATTTCAAAAGGTTACCGTAGAGAAAAGTCGCTAAACGTTACACGAAATTATAGATTTCTTTATTCTATCTTATATCGAATAAATTTGGTGTTACACAACCGAAGAAAAATATATAATTCAAACAGGTCGATTTCAACATAAGTCTTGAGCGATTCAAACTTTCAAGCTAAAATTTCCATTACATCATATTCACGTTCTATTCTTCAGTCAGCAAAAGCTTCATCCAAACTGAATGCAAAGTACGAAATTAAAAATCTCCTTAAAATTAAAAATCAAATGGACTATGTTTTATTTGTTTTTATGTATAGTTAAAAAAGAAATTATTCACTATAAAGGTACAAAATGATTATAACATTTATCCTAAAATTCATCTTCAAATAATAGCAGTAGTTAATTAATATCAATATTACCTCTTTAGTTTAGAAAAATTGATGTAACTGTTGACATGAAGAGTAACCTCATTAAGTAACGTCTATTGAATTCTATGTGAGAGAAAATTTGTTGAATTTATCGAATTTGGTTGATCTTCGTAATGACATCATTATGTAATTTATTGTAGGAATACAATCCTTTTTTTCATACTATTTAGAACATATTATTTTTCTGAATGAGAACGAGTCTATCTTTTAGTTCGTTTGTTTGTTTAGTACAAATTTTACGTACAAAATTTCCAGATTGAGATCATGATCGAACAAGTGAAGAAGCATTTACAGATGGATGAGTTGGAAGATATGTCGTGTTATAAATTAAAAAGAATACAAAAAATTGATTTCTAAATCTTTGACGCTAATTAAAGTATATTCATTTAAAATGGATAATTTATATATATATATATATATATGTATATATGCTTAAAAAAGAATATTTTCTTATTGCAAAATGTCGAGTTATTATTTAATGTAACCATTTTAATCGATAGTCATTCGTGATTAAAAGTTAGAATAAAAAAGAAAAAAGATTTACTTCTTTTTGAAAGAAGAAAAAGATCGATTTTTATGATATCCCAAAAGTACATGGTGATAATTATTTGTTTAAACCTTAAGTTGACTAGTTGAATAATAAGTACCCGTGAGTTTTCTTTTTAAAACGAAAAATGATCTCTAGATACTAAAAATGAACTTAACTATTTTTTATAATTTTTCATCACTATGAATGTATCGTATAGGATAGATATTATTTTAGTATAGAACTAAAATATAATAAGTCAGAATAAAAACCGCCTTTTTCCACTAATCGACTTATTGTACATTTGGTCCTAGTGTTTATATTTCAAGTACAGTTAATAACTGTTTGACACCTGTTTGTGTCTGTTTGTGCCAATAATATTCCAACTTCGTTTCATTTTGCTAATATGATTATAACAGATGGTAGTAGCCTGAATTAACCGAAAAATTGTTTGCTTCTTTCTCTCAAACGTAGGCCAAGTGTATATTTTTATCCTATTAGATAATTAATAATTATACAACATCCTTATGATAATAGATTTTTTTGTTCTTTTCTCGTTGTATGTTAGATGTAATTATAGACGATAATAGTGTGCTTGTTATTCTTTATTTAAAGGTCAAATACATCGTACTGCAAGTTAATATTTCTAACAGAAATAGTAATAGTTTTATGTGTAATATGGAATTTCAGTTATCGTTAAACGTACCAAGAATGTATTTTCATTTTATATATAAATTCCAAATGTATCGTGTACTGATACAAAAAACAAAAAATTTTTTTTTACTAAACGTTTATTTGTGAAATAACTTGAAATTTATCTTTAGTATTGAGTGATACTTTTATCGTGAATATCGTTTTCTACGTTGATTGTGCCACATCAGTATGGAAAAAGAGACTATTAAAAGAAAATAAGAAATAATATGAGATCAATGATGTGTTTCTATTAGCTCATCAGAGTCAACGTCGTTTATTTAGGTGCGAGATTCTGTCTTTGTGTTTTATATAATTATAGAGATATCAGACAACATAATGTCATCATTAGTATAACTTTTTTCTCAGTTTCTATCACCTTCTTCTTATCTTTATATCTAGCATTACTAATTTTTCTTTTGCAGTCGTTTGTTCTATTTGTGTCTTGAGCTTATCACGTACGAAAAACTATATTATTCTTCATTTATCATTTTCTGTCATATTTACATCGATACTTTCTTATATTCTTTTGAATAATCGATGACAGAGAGGGAGAGAAGAATGACATTGTACATTTGTGGTTTTTAGTCCTAGTATAATAATGCTGAAGATGGTGATCTATCTATCCAAAAAAATGCCATCATACCTAAAGATAGTTGAGAAACATGTCAGAAATCTCAAACAATTGATAGACATCTCTTTCCAGTTTGTTTGCTAGCGTTGAATTATACTTTGTTGATTGTTTGATAAACTAAGCATCTGAAGAACAGTCAGTTCATCTGTATTATCATACTGTTATCAGAACGTTTCTTTTTTTGATAAAAATATAGAACTAAAAACAAGAAAATTTTTGATTGTCTTTTATTGATTATCGATATGATGTAACAAGAGAAGAAAAGATATACTTATTTTATCATTGTCTATAAGATAAAACAATCCAAATGTTGAAAAAACTCGTCTTTCAACTATTGTAGGATGAGATAATAATCACTTTTAAAACTATGAAGATTGTGACGACAAGAAACTGTCTATACAAATTTTTAAATCTCAAATAACCTAGCGAAAAAAAGTTACATATTCTTCATTCCTCTATTTCATGCAACAATACTTTTTGTCTTTAGTTACGGAAGTTTGAATAGAATTTTATGTTTGCTGACTCTGTTAGATATTGGATGAGTATTATCTGCCACTTAAAAAGTGACCAGATACAGATTAACATGTAGAATATGGTGATAGTCATATGAGGTCATTGTTTAACTTCTATCACGTTGTTAACTAATGAGAATTGAAATATTTGACCTATTGCGATTGTTGAAGAGAAACATAACATCTTATTGGTTAACAACTGTTTATGTACAATTGAAAACAGATAGTAATCAGACGTATTATTAGACTTTTTGCATCGATCTGCGAAAATTTTTTTTTCTCTTCGCTTCAACATCACTTAGTATAAATAGTGTATGTATAGCATCATATTTTTTCCATTAAAGTTCTACTAAGACATTTTCTCTCAAAACATGACACCGTCTGCTAATTATATAATAAATGAATACGACACACGTTTAACGTAAGTTCATATTCGTAAACAAAAAGTATTGTTTTTACAAAATATACAAATGATATCTCAAATAGAAGCATCTCTTTTGTATGTTAAAAAACTTTAAACTATTAGCACATGAAACAAGATTTGATTTTTCTGCGATTTGTAATATTTTTTTAAGAAGAACAAGCAAAATCATTACTGAGTGTACGCATATATGCAGCTGTATTATTCAGAAGTGAGGGTTAAGTTTCAAAAAAAAGTTTAACAAGTACGAAAAATTAAAGGAAGACATAGGTCTACAAATAACGAGAAGAGAAATCGAGTAACCCCTGTTTATTGAAATCGTCTAGGATTGCCACCTTTTTCGCTTTTTCGTTTTTTTTCCATCTTTCTTTCTTGATTGAATACAGTTAGTTTTGATAGATTTTATTTTCTATTAGTGCATCTATAAAATGAATCACCACCCTTTATTTTTCAATCTGCTGATTTGAAAATACATTTTTATTGCAACTAATAGTTTTGAAACTTCTAAATATTATTTGTAATCTACATTGTTCATAGTATTGTGAAGAACTTACTTGATTATATTTCGCCTTTCTACGATGTATAACTTTCTTTGCTAATCTCTTGTCAGAAAATTTAGTGACTTATTGAAATATGCCGATTAAATATTGTGTAACGACTGGTTTTTTATTGTTTACATTGTGTTATCGTGTCGGTAAGGTTGAACTAAAATAAATTTCATTACATCTTCATAATAGTAAATACATGCTGTAAGCGAACGAAGATAATTAGCCGATCATTTTCATGTATAACATGTAAAATGAAAGATATCTTCTTATTATCATTATACGTTCATTGTAAGAAAAATAAACTGTTTCATGATGTATTTAGTGAAACATTTTGAGTGAGTATTTCGCTTTCGATTGAAGAAACCCAAGAGAAGTTTTAATACAACCGTTATTCAGCTTTCTAAAAGATTTTTTATCTAAATTAATACTCTGTTCTAAGGACAGCTTGACTTGGTGTTTATGTTGATCGTCGCATACTTTAAAATGCACTATATTTAAATCTCGGTGCCGACAAGTGATGTAATGACGTTGAGCAAGCTACTTATGCCGTGAATCACCCGTCTAATAGCATGCACATTTACTACCTTGTGACGTACAACACGATTACTCTGCTTAGTTTGTGACTCTTCAGAAATCTGGTACGTGAGTGTGTATAGAGAGCTCAAGCAATTGGGCGAAGAACTCTGTGTCAGCCTGGCCGTCTGGCCAGAGCTGCACTTAATAATTTAGTATATCGATAAATAGTCTGAAAAATTAGATAAGATAATTCTTAGAAGGTTTAGAGACCTAAGTTAAAGATATCAGATAAATGTTGAAGTATATGTTGTTCCTCTTATCGCTGAAGTTGTAATCTGCGTCAAGGACCTCCTGATGTACTAAGCTCCTGGCAAAAAGTATTTTTTTTTCACTAGCATGTTTAATCATTTATTTAGTACTTTTATGTATCTTCTGAACAAACAAACAATACATCACTTTGTTAAAGATGCTTTTTTCTCTATGTTGTCAAGTTATAACAACATGTTCTCATTAGGCACATATCTGTCCGTTAAATGGTAATACAAATGGATTGGTTATTCATCCATTTATTCGTATAAATAAACACTCTTTTGAACAATTTAAAAATATTCGTATGATATCAAACTTAGCGTAAAAAATCTTTAATGAGGTGAATGTGCGATAGGAAAAAAAAGAATTCTTGAAGAAATATAGAGTAGATATAGATTGATTGTAATATTAGACAGTGTGTCGATAAGTGTTATTAGAGATAAGATACGAAACGAGAAATTAATGTATACAAATCAAAAATGAACAATAACGAGCAGTTGAAATGTACACAATTAGATTATATCCTGAATTATAAATACTTTTTAGTTATAAAAACATATGCTAATGCTTTGTCTATCATTGTTTTCGTTGCTATTAGAAATTCCAAAATAAAAGAGATTTCTGATTCTGAGTAATTACAGAATGAATAATCTGACGGTTGCTGTTCTATTACCGTTTCTCATATGTCTACTAAAAATTTTTTAATTAGGCATGCAAATCTACTGTTTAATGAATGATGATATTATATTTATTTTACTGTTTAGAAACGTTGATGGTAAGGAAGTGGACCATGATGACAAAAGCAAATTTATTGCTATTATACGACCATTATTAGTCGAATTGGTATGTACTGAGTCTGTCCTCTTATTTATTCTTCAAAACTGCATTAATTTTTTATAAATAGATTGGAACATGTTGTTTTGTTTTAATTGGTTTGTTTGGCGTATGCAGTGCTGGTCCAGGTGTTGTAGCAGCGGCATTTGCATTTGGTTTAGCATTAATGGTGTTTGCAGCCAGTTTTGGTCATATAAGGTATAAGAAAAAAATTTATTTGAAGATCAAAGCATTAATGTCTCAATTTGTTTCTAGTGGTGTTCATTTTAATCCGGCCGTAACACTTGGTGTCTTACTAGCTGGTGAAGTTCAACCCATGATGGCTGCTTTGTATTTTGTTATGCAACTTTTGGGTGGTATTGCTGCCGCCGGTCTCGCTAAAGTAAAGTCGCCCTGTCGAATTTTTGAGTAGTTGATCATGTATGGATGGATTTTTTATTATAGTTACTCTTACGAGATGGAGTTTATGCATCATGTAGAGGAGGAGCTACATTTTTAAGTACATTTAAAGCTTTTAATCACACCTTGATTGGTGGTAATTCTTATCACTATTATGCCGAAGATGCAGTAAAATGGTGGGAAGGCATATTAATTGAATTACTTGTTACATTTGTATTTGTCACGATTATATTGATGGTATGTACTTTTAAATTGTTATATTTAAACAAACTTCAATACTCAATTCTATTCTAGGTTGCATTAGATACAAAGTCGAAAACTGGTCTTGCTCCAGTGTTAATAGGATTTACCCTCGTTGCAGCTATTTTGGCGGCTGGTGCATTTACAGGAGGCTCATTGAATCCTGCACGTTCATTAGGTCCAGCTATATTTGCGAATGAATGGCGAAATCATTACGTTTACTGGGTAACAAATTTTGATTTTAATTTACAAATATATATTGAACAATTATTATAATATTTTGCTCTTCGTTTAGGTCGGTCCTCTTGTCGGTGCAGCAATCGCTGGATGTTTATATCGGTAAGAAAATTTTATACACTTCTTGAAATATGTCCCAAGATTTCTAAGATTGTATGAGTATTCACAGTTGAGTACATTAGGGGCGTGAAATCTCGTTTCAACCTTTTTTGGCGATAAGTAGGAGTCATCTATTTTCTAATGGTGAACACGTCTCTTCCTTCTCACTAGAAGTCTTATTTTTTCCAGTTATTACACTTTCGCCAATATACTAATTATTTCGAATGGATCTGTAGAACTTGTTTTTGACAGCTTCAATGAGAATCATTAGCCAGTACACCAGAAACACTTTTTATCTGACTTTAAATCACTGTTTATCACTTTAGGTTTATTTGGGCACATTCTGATCGACGAATTCCACGACGTACAAAGTAAAAATGTGAAATTTATGGAACATATTCAACAAATATTATTTCTTATTAGTTATTTGTTCTTGATATAATGAAAATTTGGATTTAAAATAATTTTAAAATTTCTTATTATTCATCATCATCATCGTCATTTCTCTCATAATCATCCATCTATGTAAATCTTTCTTTTTCTTTTTATTCTTTAGTTGGTTTTGTTTTTTTATTTCAAAATTCATATGGTGATGTTGTAAAAATCATTAACAAGAAAAAAACTTTGTTGTTTTCCTAGGAAAATAAGAACTTTTGTGTGTATACAACACATTTGAATGTTAATGTTGTTGGGACCGACATATGGTGGCGAATTGTCTTCTCTATTTTCAATACTCCTTTTTTTCTCTTATTTTCGTGGTTAATTAAGCATCATTCTTTCTTTCTCTCTTACTTAGATTGTTTGGTGTTATCTTTTCTCTATTTCTATTTGTAAATAGAAAGTCAAACAATAATAATTATTTTCAATTTCAAGGCTTACTTACATACGTGAGTAGAATATTATTTTAATGAATCTCGTCTCATAAACAAAGTGAACATCTGCTGTAATGCTCAATTAATATATGTTCTTTTTGGATGATGAGCTTACCTTGGTGAGAATGATTTTCTTGATTTGCTCTTGTTGTCTCTCTCTCAGATATTATTATTTAACAATTATAAGATCATATTTTCTGTATGCTTCAACATGCTGATTTTTTTTTCTCCCATTGTTTTATCTGTTCTTATTTTACAAATAAAACGGCAGGCAAACAGAAACTGAGTAACTCGAGAGATACTCTATTTACTCTTGTTTAGGTTAAATGCTTTAAAGAATATTTGCTGCTTGTCTTTATGTCATTATTATTTGTTGTGTCTTTTATTCTCAGTTTTTTTTGGCATTTTTTGGTTGTTTTTTCGTTTTTTTATTAATAAACAAAAAAATTACTATATACCAGATTAAGTACAAATTCAATATCAATTAAATGCGCCGCAAGGTTGCTAGACAAAATAGATCTAAGTACTTGAAAAGTTGAAGTTCATTCTTTTAAAAATATCCTCTAATCAAAGGTTTTCCGATGTCTACAGTATTTAGTAAACTTTGAAATTAACTTTTTTTTAAGAAAACAACCTACAAAGCGCAGTTTCAATATAGTATTGATACAATACTTCCAGTTTTCTGATCTTTTCTGTCAAAATATGGCAGTTTTTCAAAACAACTTCTTCGGTTGTTGCTGGAGGTTTCCATTACTTTAAGTCCGTTCATTCACACAAAACTTTAAACTAGATGAATCTTACTATAAGTATTAAGTCAGCATCGAAAAACTACAACGAAGCTTTTGATGGTCCACAGTCATCAAAAGTTCCAAGAACAATTTATGACTATGTTAATACTGACTGGGAGAAATATAAAGTCTAAATAGTGTTAATCGGTTTTGACTAATATCAGGACTAAGTTAAATGCAGCCGTAAGTTTAGTACTCGATAAAATTATGGAAGTAGCCGACCTAATAATTCCCCACAAAATCAGCACTCAAAAATCTGGTAAAAAAGCCAGGTAAATCGGTGATTCAACTACAAACCAACTATTGTCCATCCAAAAAAAACAGTGGCCTCGGTTGTTTTTTAAATAACTTTTGATACAAAAATGGTAGAAACCTGCAAACTTCATCAATCGAAAGACGACAGTTTAAGCTATACTTTCACAAGCGAAATGGTCTTTTGAAAACGTTTCGAAGGTCAGTTTTCTAGAAGCTCTTTGGAAAACCAGCTCAGATTTCTAGAACTCGACATAGTAATCTATTGTTCTTCTTTTTTGTAGATAGATAGTCCGAAGTGTCTTTTACAAAATAAGACCTAAGCAAACATGTGGTTTTGCTTAGCTCAGTAGCTACAGACCTTTCTCCCGAAGCCTTAGGACTTCTCTGTCGTTAGGTTTAAACGGTCAGAAATGCATGAAAACATAGGTTGTCGACTATGCTGAATCTCGCGGCAACATTTGTGTTTCAAAAAAGTTTCAAAAATCTGGCGAAAACCTCTCAGGTGAAATATGCCATTTTTGCCTAGTTTTTAGTAAAATCAAAAAATTCATAATCCAGTCATGATCCATCCAAATTATGTCAGAATATCACGATGGACTCTATTTTACCTGTTCAATACTATGCAGTTCAATAGAAGTTTTAAAATAAAACAGAAAATACTTTTCTGTTTAAAGGCTACTGTTCCATAACCATCTAAATACTGAACCAATTTAGTGGATGAAAGTGTGTAAGCGTCATTCAGTAAAGTGACTGGGAGTGATCCACTTCAATCACAGCTTGCACACACTTTTGTGAGACCACAGGAAAATCATCCACTTTTCCAAATGACAGGCCAATAAAGTGATTGTTACAGTCATCCACTGATGTGATCCACGAATTTACAGTGTAATTCTGAATGAGAAAAGAAGTTCTGAGGAAAATTCGTACTAGTGGAAAATAAAGTCATATTAGCGAAAAACATTCAGAAACGGCAATAAATACTTTTTTTGTAGTTTCAGTGGAAATGATTTGTCTTATCGTACGAGAATTAGTAAAACAAAAAATAAAAATACTGTATTAGTTGTTGTTTGTTCCTCAAAGTAGGGTTTTCAATAACGAGCTCTCATTTAAATTAATGTAGCATTGGAGTTTTTACAGCGCTTTCTCTTACATCTTGTTTTGATATACACTGATTTCCAGTTATATTACTGTTGAGTTACAGATTGTTATAACTCCTGAATGCAGTTTGATACAAAACTCATTAACTCATTAGGTCTTGTCCAGACTACACTCTTTTCTCACTTAAGTATTAACTTAAGTCATGTCGAGCATACAACTTAAGTTGGAATTAGCTTTTTCATTCAATACGGCTACGAGTTCCTCACTTAACTTTTGTAGTCTGGACAAGGTCTATATGTTAGATGTTCGATTATTTTCCAGTTGGGCAAACAGATGGTGACACAGTCAATACGGATTAGTCTTGGGCATGAGTTAAACTGTTTAATGCAAAACTGTTTTAGATTTATTTCAATAGAATTTTTCGCGGTTTATGTTCCAGAAAAGACTATTCTACACCATTCCTCTTTGTGAAGTCTTTATAATGCAGAAATCAATATGCCGGACATAATGATCACGTTGTTATAGACGTAGATTGAGCTTTATCATTAATAAAAATTTCGTTGACTATCTCTGTATTTACTTCTACGTCTTTATTTTTACAAACTTATAAAACACGAGTCCGTTCATTAATAATCGATAAAGGTTTGTTGTAGTTATGCTTTTTTTATATTTGCCTCTGTGAATATCATAGGGAGCATTGATGCAACAAGGTGGAACGGGATACACGGATGACTAGTCCTACATTTCGATATTTGCTCATCGACAGCCTCCCTTTTGCAAGAATTTTTCAGAAATAAAGATATAGTCGTGTTATCTTGTCCATTGTAACTGAAATTAATGTTTCGTCTTGACCTTTAGTTGAAAAAGCACTCCATTCTCCACAACTTATCTATCTTTAGTTGTTTTTAGCGAGCATCCCTGAATGTGCCTTTAATAACTATCCGAATTTAGACAATTTCTTTTCGATTTCGAGCAATGTTTCTAATAAGAATGTACCGATACCGTATCAAAATTAAAAAGTCTCATAACGTCAAAATACAAAAGATTGTTCTTTAATAAAGTTTAAAACTGTAGTGCGTTGGAGTTGGTAACTCTGAGCAAGCACGCAAACAAAAAACTTAGATTGCGATGATTACTATGAGTTTCAGTGCACTATATTACTCTATTTTTGTATTGTTTTAGATTGAGAACATCTTTGCTTTTACGCATAAGCAATGACAAATAGTGATATATGGACACGGGTATCAGTCATTAAAGAAATGACTGAAACTTATTATACGATTACAACATGTTTAGCTGATATATATCAACGTTATATTAAAGTTTTAACTATTAATAATGTCAAAAAACATTCTTCATTTTCTAATTCTGTTTTTGAACCATCACCTCTGTTGAATGAATTATGCCATTCACTGTTTTCTTCAATTAATTCAGATCCCACGAAAGTTCTTACAGAATATTTATCTGTACTGCAAAATATCTTGAAGTGAGTATCAGACAAAACGAACGTGTTGAATCATCCGATTACTAATTTATTTTCTCAAAAAATGTTTGTTTTATGCCGTTTCTATTTTATTTAGGCCGTCAGTATTTACATATCACGATTTTGAGGCTTCTTTTGAAGAACTGGAAAAGGATGAGGCTCGTATTTCAACATAGAGAACCGCAGCTTATCTTCTATTTAGTAATGAACTCCACTTTTCAATCTTTGCGAAATGTCTAGTTTAACGATGGATAGCAGCTATAAGCTTGATCATTGATCTTAAGCTTTGAGCTGGATCTGACGTCGATGACTAATTCTATGGATGACAGCTGGTATTTAACTGTGTTTCTGAAAACCTAAGTGGTTCTGGAGTCCATTATGGTAATAAATGTCGATTCCATTTCTACTTCTCTATCAAAACTATATAGAGTATTCTTGCTACCTATTGAGTTGATCGAGATACTGGATTGCCAGTTTTGACACCGAACTTTAAGAACTTATTAACTTTCAGTTTTATTTTCCACGTGTTATAAATATTAACTACTTTTGTAGACAAACTTCTTTTCATACTAATCTTGTTCAAAATGTTCGTCGTCTATTCCGTTCCGATAAATGCTTACAATTTTTGTTTACAAGTGTTCTTGATGAAAAATTTCATTGTCAAGAATGTGATTATATATTTTCAAACAGGTATGTATGCTACTTTTACTTTTATTTCATTTTGTATATAAAGTTTTATTTAGTGTTGCTGACGTTGTACACGAAATTCAAGAGGTCACCTCAGCAATGTTTTCAAAAGAAACTCAAACATCATGCACATGTTTTCGATGCAATGATGCTAATCAAACGAAGACATTCTGCTTTAGACAGTAAGTAAGACAAGCGGAAGAAGAACACTTTATAGTGGTATGGAAACTAGTCAGTAACTTGTTCGCACAAAATGAATGATAATAAGAAGTGGAGCAATATGAAGTCGAGTGTTTAATCCTTTTACATGCAAACAAAATATAATTCATTTTTGCAAGTTTAGTTAAAAAAAAGCATTTTACAGTTTTAAGCCCCTTTTCTAGATAGTCAAAGTTGTTAATTTGTTGATGAACTAATACATTTTTTTAGGACTGGACCATGTCTTGCATTGATGACCAGTCAATTAAAAGATTCAAACAATGAATTAGTGACACAGTTATCTAGTCAAAATGGTTTGTACACTCTGATATATATAATCGAGTTGGAAAAGACACAGAAATCGATTGTGAACGTTTATCAAAGGACAGGTAATACATTTTTTTTGCATTGATGCGATGGTAAACGCTCGTTTTTCCTTTTGTCTGTTTTCAGATGATTCTTGGACAAAATTCGATGGACACAAAACAGCCCCGGTGCGGAATGTTGAATGCAATGGGAAAATGTTAACATTGTGGTTGTCTGATACACCTACGCCATTGCCATCATCGACATTATCTTCGAAAGCAAATGAACTACTACAACAAACTGTTCCGTCAATATCTACCGTCTCAGTTCAACTACCAAAACAAAAACCGGAAGATGTTCTACAAGCGTTATCATTCCACTCACCATTGCCTTCAAGTTGTTCTTCGTTGAATATCGCCGCTACGAATGATTCATCTGTTGTCACATTTAATTCAGTTGAAACACCAATATTAAGTACGGAAGAAACTATTACCGATTTATTGCCAATTTCAAACACGAATATAGTGTCTTCAATGGTTGTTGAAAAACCAGATGAAACAGCAGTGCATGCACAAGAAACATACCAGAGTTCTAGTACAATAACATTTGACGATTTTCTCCCATCGACAAATAATGAGTCATTTTCATACGATATGCCAACAGATTTTAAGACAAATATTCCAGATGAAGCTGATAATATTGATGATTCGTTTTGGGATTCTATAGGCACGAATAATTCATCAACAATTATTACTAACGACGAGGTAATGCCAAATGTTCCATATACATCGTCTAGTCTTAATTCAGACACTATCGAAACATCGTCGACTTCGACTATTAGGAAAAAGCCATCGTCTGCTTCTTCCACTGTATCAACAATATCAAAAACCGATTCAGTTGGTGATTTATTTCTAACTTTATTTAATCAAACAAAAGAAGAACATCAAGTAAAATATCCGAATGCTAGTCAGCGTGTTAATCATGATATTGCCGTAAATGCATTAGCATCAAATGTTTTATGGCCATTATTAGTAAAACAAACGAAACGAAAATTAAATAACTCAAAGACAACGAGAACATCATCATTATCTGGTTTATCGGATAGTCAGGATTCATTCGATAGCAACACATTTTCAGCATTGACCTATCCAATTCAGACATCACCGTCCTCTTCCATATCGTCACAAAATGGTGAGAGTCATATGAATTTAGAAAATTTAAAACGATTTTTAAATAGTACTGAACCAACTGCAAGAACAAAAACATCATTAAAAACAACTGCTTCTAAAAGTAGACGTGTAACACCCTATACAACCAATAAAGATAAATGATTAATTTTTACTTTTGCATATGTAGCTTAGAATGATTGTATTTTCTCATCTTTGTGAAACAGTAAGAATAATTTCTTTTTAAAATTATTCGAGTGTATATTTATATGTGTATGTGTTTTTCTATATGAAAATTATGTCTTTTGTTCTTTATTTTGTTTTGTCTGAAATTCTCTAATGAACTCCACTTGATTTGCTTTGTCATTGTTTTTCTTAGCTTTTTCGTCATAAAACATGATATAACAATTAAAGAAAAATGAATTGGTAAAACAACGGCTCGATAAACATGACACTAGCTAGGTTCAGTTTATGATGTTATAGCAACTGATTAATAAATTTGATTTTTTCCTTACGGTCATCCATGCATCTATCATTTAAACGCTGTGTTTTGTAACGATACCACAGTTAGTCTTTTCGGCATAAACTAAATTAATGTTGTTTTATCTCGTGTAATATGATAAATCACGATAAGTACCAGATGCCTGATATCGAGGCTTAGACTAGCAGCAAATGTCTCAATTCAGATGGCAATTTAAAAAAAGTGAGTAGCATTCTAGAAAAAAAGTGTTGATTTTGCAGTATGTTTTAAAAAGTTTGTAACACTTAACACTACTGACTTTCCAGTGATGGCAAGATGGTAGATGTCACCGTCCAATGGCTTACAATTTGTTTCGCTTGTTTCAGCAACAGAGCTTTATTTTATCCCGGAGTGTTATTAATTCAAAAGAAACTGCTACCTGCACGTGAACGATCAATATAAGATTGTTGCGAATTTGTTACTGTTGATTGGCTAAAAATATTTATCAATAATGCGGCATTTGTTGTTCACCAATCCTAAATATTGTAAATACCGGTCTTGTCTTATACTACCAGCATATGATATTGCCAATCGAGAAGATGATTGTTAGTTTCACATAGGATTTTCCAATACTAAAGAAAGAAAAGAAATTATCGGCTAAAGGCAATTATTTCGAGTGAAAACTATCCAGTTTTTAGAGAGCAGACTTTTGCAGAGTAGACAAGATAGGATTAATAACAATCTCAACAATAATGGTAACAACAACCGCAACACTAATAATAATAATAATAATAATAAAAAATTCAATAGTCAAGGAAATCGTTCAAGTAGATCGTCTAATAAATATTGATGTGATGTGACTCCAGCTGAACAAAATGTCTTTACAAGTTCTCACAAACTTTGTATTTTCTCGCACAATATCCAAAGTC